CAGACTATTTATAAATGCGAAGCTGGCCAACTCCGTGGGAGACACATAGGTAGTTCGCTGCTCGGGAAGGAGGGTGAGATTGAGTGAGGGGCATAATGCTGTCGAGGGGAGTCCGTGGAATTGTTCTTCCCTGCTACCTCCGTTTGACACGCCTTGGGTCACGAACGCCCTTCGAGCATCTCGCCTGCTCCCCCAGCTGTCTTCGGTTTCGACATCAGCTGGCTTTATATGCAACTTGAATCCGCCCATCCCTACCCTATGCTTAGCAGCCGCTGCCTCCGCTTGCCGTTATAGCCTATCAACTTACATGCAAGTTCATGCATTCGCCCCCTCCCCCTTATCATCACACGCTGCACTAACACTACACGAAGAACTAGGAAAATATTGATACAGAAGTTCGCTTCCGCTAGGACAAATTTCGGAAAAGTCATGCTTTGGGCGTCCATTTCTAGAGCGGGAGTCAGCAGAAGCACCATGACCTAAACAGGCGTCATGCGAATGGACGACGGCGCAAAAGTGACGACGTAAAAAGGATGCACCGAGCCGCCTGCACGTGTGTCGTGAGCCAGCTCACTGGTAAACTGTCATGCTCTGAGGAGGGCAGTGACGTCACTTATCTTGCAGCTGGCACGTGCATGTGAAACCGGCCCGGGAATCCGTCAAAACAACTCGCTTTGGAGGACGGCGGCATCTGATTGGCTCTCCCCGTTTACAAACGTGGGCGCTGGGCATCAAACCTGATTCAAGCGATGTGGACGGCGCGCGGTTCGTCCGGGGCGCCATGCATGTCGGGCGGCAGCGTGGCAGCCGGCGGGCCTGCAGCCCCTCCCCACCGCTGCCGCCTCCGCGCCGCATCCGCCGGCACAGCCGCTTGCCGCGCGAACGAGCGACGAAAGCTGGCGGGTACTGCGCAGCCGTGGCTGCCGGCTGGCCGCGCTCCAGCGGCGGCGGCGCCGGGGCACGTGGGGCTGCCGTGATCGGCCGCCGGCACGTCACAGCCCGCCGAGGCGGCGTGGCGAGCCGGCGGCCGTGATTCCTCCCCGGCGCGAGGGTGACCCGGGTGGCGAGAGGCTGCCCGCTGTCAGGGGGTCACATCAGCACCCGCGTGGTGGCGTTTGTGTGACCAATATCATGATTGAGGCAATTATGACATTTTTGTTTGGCGATTCTGGTGAGCGTTGACTTTTACTGAGATCCTGTTTTACACATATTCGTCAAAAATTATATCAATGTTTCTTTGCGATCGTGCGTTTAACACTCGAGCTATGAATAACTAACTGGACCAGGCTTGATGTCAGGGGTAAGTGACAACCGTAATTATCAAATACTAGATGGTTACAGACACGCTCTTTAAACACCCACCGTTGTTTGTGCAGTGCAACAGTTCCGCACATCTGTTACATCAGGTATTTCGTTCGTCAAGTGTCGAAATGTGACACGCAGGGCCCCTTCCCGACTATTGTGTGAGCAGTGTGCATCAACACTCACCTGGAGGGCAGGATCAGCTGAGTGAAAGTCTACCGCTGTCATCTTGCGGCGACGGACGGTCGCAGTGGTATAGCAGGACAATCGCATGAATGGCGTTTTGCCATGCCATAAAAAGCTTCGATGGTATGGGTAGCTTTCATCAACGATGATGAGCGTTACGAAATCCCCTGTTTGGTTATTTCTATTATTCGGAGCCCTGCGGCATTAATCACCACCACGCCAGCTACTTAGTATTATAGGTATGATATGACATGGTGACAGGTGACAGGTGACAATTTTCTCATGTTCTTTACGCGATAAACAAAACACTTGCCAGGTCCAGCGCAAAAACCTTGAGACTATCGTGGGCTTTCAGAACCGGTGGCGCAGGATATGATATCAGTCTTACTCATCCTCGCAATTAAATTTAGCAAATTATAGAACTACCGCCACACGATAAGCAAAGTACAGAAGGATGCATAAATGCCTATAATTAAATACAATATTCATGAGGCATTTTAGCCGCCCAACTAACAAGCTGTTGGTTATTTCTAGTGACATCATAGCGCGATGAAGCCCGAAAATTGTTCTAGCTCTTAAACGTCCGGGACGTCGAAGTCTGATCCGGTTGCGAGTCGGAATAGCGGAACGCGATTAATTCATTGTGCAACCGTTGGTCGTGCCGGGCTGTTCTGGGCACGGTTGGCATGATATAGTAGGCCATGCCATTTCAGTCAGTCAAAACTCTGTGGACGTGCATGTTACAACCAGATCAACATCACTGGAGCCGTAACCGAGTGTTCCAACTTAAAGGCATCTTTCGAAAACATACCCAGATGAAACATCAGGACCAGTTACGTTTAATGCTAGCACTGCAGCACCAGCAAAATATAATGAAGGGATTGTTTATAACCACTTTCGAGTCCGATATACGCTGTGTGTAGGCGTAGGAGCGATTCCAAAAAAAAAAAAAATGAGGGAATGCTCAGGGTATGATAAAAGAAGTTTGGTTAGGAGGCAAGCCGGTGACTAAGCGGGAGTGGAGGGTATAAATAGAGGACAGTGCAAGCTCTTGATTCGTCTGTTGGAAGGAGTAAATGTCACCGTTGCTATGCTAGATATGCACCTACAGTTGTTTCCCACTGGCGCACAATCTTACATATTTGATTCATCTATGGCATTCGGCAGATAAGATAACTCAGCCTACTAAAGTTATTAGTTGATTTCAACGTTGTTTCTCCTGAAGAGGCGAAACTCTTAAAACGGAAAGACATTTTTCGGTCAATGGGAAGACATCTGCACCTACAGTAAAGGTGCCAAAATACGGCCTGTACATAAGCTGGTCAAAATTTCGAACTCGAATCAGCGGCCCATAGTCCGCCAGAGCATTCGTGGGCACGGATTTCGTCGGCTGGTTTTCAAAAGATCATGGGCGGAAACCAATTCACAAGCTTCAAATACTATATGCCAAAACTTTGCGGCAAAAGCCATAAAACCGGGGGTTTTGCTGTAAAAAAAACAAGTCACGGAATGAATGCGTTTCTTTCTGTGTTTCAGGAAGTTTGGGCAGTGGCATTAGTATTACAGAAAAACCTGGAATCGAAAAACTTTAGGAAGAGCGCCGTAACCGAGCATACGAATGCAGGTGAATAATATACAACCTCGGAAAAGTATGTGAGAGCACCACGAGGAAGGGTCAAAGCACGCGCACGTGACGAAATTAGGCTTCTGGAAACACCGCACACATTACCCCGACACTCATCAATAAGCTGAAACACTTCACGTGAGCCAGCCCGCCCGCTAGGTTGGCAATCTCGCACGGCTAATTTGACAACCCCTTTGACATAACACAGAAATTTCATGACGCAATCAAATGGTGGCGTATTGAGAAGCGTATTTGCGAAATAGTGAAACTGTGTTCCCTAGAGGGCAGTCTTTTTGCATGTAAAAGTATACTGATAGTTGCAGCTAAGCTTTCATCATATATAGCGTCTGCCTCCTGCGCCTGTTCCCAGCTGGACACCTTTGGGGTCTCCTTGGCTGATCGCACTCGTTTGAACTTCAAAGGGGATATTCTACATTTAGATGTGGTAACGCAAGCTTCAGATAAGGTAAGATATGCTCAGTCTTAACTATTTGTGTACTTTTAAGTGGACAAGACTGCTTTTGATAACGCAATTTTCCTGTTGAGTAAATATGCTCCTCCGTACGTCATTGCTTGGTGGCGTCATCGTATCTTGCACAACATTGACTGAAAGCCAATTGACGGGCATCATGTCTGGAAATCGTACTCACGAACGCCAGATATGAACGACGTGACAATTACGTTTATCTCGGCCTTGATCGTCGCATTTCGATGGTACGGCAGAGTTTGAATGACGTTAGTATGGCGTCATGGATGCCTGGGTGACTGGAAATATTCTGCACGAAATCAACTGCACATCTTCGTGGGCATACAGCTCAGAAATTGGAGGGTTAGGTATTAATAAGGACGGTGCTGTAAACTGCACCGTACGATCTTTAAGATTACTTTTTAAATTCAAAACCCAGGAAGGAATTTGGGACACTCTCCTTAAACTAGGACCCCTTGCCGACTCTATCCTTACGCCATGCACACCACTCGATCGTGCGGCAGCATTCACGCGTTTGCGCACCTCGTCAATTTGAAACCGCGGTTCGTCGCATGCATAATCTGCATGTTTCACCTTCCGGCACCTTCTCCGCGAACATGATGTAGGATTCAGTCGGGACCATGCGGCACAAGTGAAAGACCTGTCTCGGTATTGAGGGCAGTTATTCTTGCCGACGTTTTTTTGTGGCATTTTAGTTAAACTATCCCCGTATGATTGAGGATCAGAAGATATGCACACCACTCCCCGCATGTGTGACTTTAGAACCGCCTTTAACCAAGGTGCGGAATGATCTCCAGTTCACTGGGGATTTCGTTCGTGCATAATACAGGTTTAACTTCTGGGCGTGGGTAATCCACGATCATTTTCATGTTTTCCCGCCGTCGGACCATGATGCACCAGGTATTATCTCACTAGTATAGACGCAAAAAGACATCAATGCGAGGTCCCAAGTATTGTACTTTGAAAGTACGCTCATGCGTTTTTCGGCAGACGTGTTAAAATTGTTATTGTTGCTGTGTGCTCTGAAATAGCTGTCTGTTTTATACGCCTTGTTTCGTTGTCTGAAAGTACATACAATTTTCATGCTGATTCAGTTGTTCTCATAGGCGAGGCCGCCAGCATGCGCGTCACTGGAGACAGCTTGCGACACAGCAGCCGACACAGTGGCATCCGCAGCATCCTTCCACAGAAGCGGACGATTGCGCCAGCCGTCCTGACACGCGCTGGAGCGGCGCCGGCGCCTCCCCGGCCCCAGCTGCTTCCCTAGTTCGTCGACGGCCGGTGGCGCCGCCGCCACGGTCACGTGATCGGTGCGTGGCCTCGGGCGCCGTGCCGAGCCGGGCCGGGCCGGGCGGTAGTGTGCTGCCGTCGCCGGGAGGGGGAGCGCCGAGGGATCCGACTGCCAGGAGCGACGCCCATCTCTGCCGTCCCGTACCGCTGCAGGGCCAGGAGAGTCTCCATTCGCTCGCCCGTTCATCCCGACGCAGCAGCGCTGGAGGCCAGCACGGAAGCCATGCCGGAACTCACCAGGTCAGTTTCCTGCCAGCGTCGGGCCCGTCTAGCTGGCACAACCCCCCTGCCGGGAAATGGTTCTGTTTTTAACTCATGCGAACCGCCATTCACTTAAAGCTCATTGGAGTCCGCCCGCTCGAACAGAAGTCGGAGGGTGGGGGGGGGGGGGGGGGACGGGTTGATCGATTGCCCGATTGGAAACAGATTGCAGGTTGTAGCTACCACACAGTGTTGCGAGAAACCCGCGACTTCGGAATCCTGTCGACCGACTGATAAACGGTTCAAAGCCGGGGCCCTCTGCTCGATCCTCGAAGCCCCTGCGCGAGTGAACTAGTAAACAGCGTTGGTCATACAGCCTGACGTAAGTTGCTCCAGTGCCCCGGGTGTACCGTCTTCTCTTCGGACCTCGGACCATGATCCGGGTCCTTCCCCAATAGGCCCCATTGCCCGCTGTGATGTAGGACATGGGCGCCGGTTACGTGGCCGGTATGACCGGGCGGTCTGCACGTTTGGTGTTCGGCTGGTGGAAGCATGTACCCTGGACAGTGCAGCTGGCGTCGGGCAGTACTTGCCAGCTGCCAGGGCGGCGCAGGGGGCGCCGGCGTTTCTCGTGCACCACGAGACAAAATCGACGACCGGTGACTGTCACTCGGCTATCTGAGAGGCCTTGGTCGAGCTGACCCGGTCGAGCGGACCCCGTGGCCAAGTGGATGGTCAACAGCGGGTATCGGCCGTCGCCTCCCCTCGCCCTCACCCCGCGACAGCGCTTCTCGGCGTGCTGCTCACGCTCTGTAACCACGCCCTGACGCATAGCCTGCACCGACATAATCCGCCAGGCCGCCGTTGGCAACTGAGAACCCACGCTCCACTAGGCAATACTTCGTTTGCCACTGAGGGAATAACCGCGCAGGGTGTGTAGCGCATACCAGTGATTGACGTGGTGATATTGTGGGTCAGTTAAGACAAAGTCCCTGCGCTGAAGCAGAATCGTCCGTAATTATGATGACTGAATGACCTGATTTAATCCCAAAGACAAGTTAACATAATTCGTTTCTCGGGGCAGGACGTAACACAGCTATAAAAAGGTAACGATTGGCTGGTAGAGCGATTGAGACCTGCAGTTCGCAATGCCTATCGGGATCGTCATCTGTGGAGTCAGTTACAGCCTTAAGATATCTCGGAGTGGCACAGGAACGCCAGCAATTAGAAGCTGGAGAGAACTTCATCTGAAGCAGTTAACTCCCGAATGTCACCGTACGATTCGGGTTAACTTCCATCAAGTGCGCGGGGCATGGGCTCCTGGCGCGCCTACCGCTATCTTCCATCGCAGCTCATGCGTAGGTGCAAAACAGGACATTTGACGTGTTTGTTGCGGCGGTGCGTACCGCAGTGTGCGGTGGCGCGATGGGCCCGGCGAGGCCCGCGCGCTGGCCGCGCGGCAGCAGCCAGCTGCGTCGCTCCCTGTCCTGCCCGACCTTCGGCAGGCCCGGCCAGCGGCGGCGCGGCCCGGCCCGCGCCCGGCCGGCGCTGCATACTCCCGTACCCGTTGGCCCGGGTTGCACAGGCGCCAGGCGCGACACCGGGCACCGACGTCACGGGACAAACAACGCGCCGCGACGCTGCCCCAGCGGCGCCGCTCCCGCACGGCAAACTGCGCCACGCCGGCCATACCCCAGCCATGGAGGGGCGCAGTAACCGCGGCTGCATGCGCACCTGTAAACGTACAACGAGCACTTGCGAGAGTCTGAGTCGGCGCTGTTGTTGATTTGTTCTTCGTGGTAAGCAGTGGTCGGGGGTGAAAAAGTGCCTTTTCTGTCGCTGACGAAATTTAAACTGTCTAAATTGTTGCCTGGAGCCACAGAAACCGCTGCAATATGATTCTAAATGCAATGAGTCACAAAGCAAAGGCAAATGTAATGGAATGCGGCATAGCCACCGGCATTTTTGGTTCAGGATCTCATTTGTACTTGAGTATCATGTGCTGGCCATTAAGAACTGAGTGATGGTCGAGGCTGAACTCATAAAAATTATCAGCTAAACGCATTCTTAACATAACGAGCCTAGAGGCGTGTAGTTGCGTGTAGTTTATCACCAACTGGTTCGCAAAAGTGTTTTTGTCTCTGAGCATATCCAGTAAATCAGCTTTTTCAACCCATGATTGTGATCACCACTTTGGTCGCATCTCAAGTTGAACTTGGTCACCCTGGATTTGACCCACTTTCCTCTCAAAGTTGTGGGGCGTGGGATCTCCCCCTCCCAACTGAATAACAATTTACACATTCTGAACCTTTTCCGACATATCAAGATCGACCAAGTCGCTTACGTTGAGAGAAGGGAAGTGAATGTCTGGTGCACCGATCATGCCTCGGGAAGGCAGCCTCTCGAAGTTTAAGCCGTGCTGCGGCGTCTGGGTGGAAAGTTCGGTAATATGTTTGCTGGAGCAGGTTTTACCGATGAGTACTGGTATCCACCCACAGGGATGCGGCAAAGCAGTCGAACGGTTATTTCACTGTCATTCATGCGGGTGGCGTCCGTCATTAACGGGCTCCGTTCGGGACATGACGGTGGCCGCCGACGGTATGCGGCAACGTGGGGTTTCCAACGGAGAAGATTGGAAAGTAAGATCTCCATTCTGTGGTTATTTGTGTTCTCCATCTTTTTTTTGCGAGGAAAATCCCATTTCAGAATTATTGTCCCATTTTTCTTTTTTAGGCAGACAATGTTGGAATCGTCCGAAATTTTTTCTGCCCAATTTGTGCGACAAAAACCCGTCCCTTGAAAAATGGTGGCCGAAATCCGGCACCTAGAAATGTCGACTAACATGGGCCTGGAAACCTTTGCCTTCACTGTGTGCCATCGTCGTCGTCTCATTTAGCAGCCACGCTCCCGGTTCGCTGACGCGAGACTTCGCCACAGGAACCGTTCCAGGTTATACGAGCTGCTCATTTTCGCCCCATCCTGTGATAGGTATGGCGGGTGAACGGACCCATCAACGTTTGCAGCAGTCATAACGGGTATTATTGCTTATTGGGCATGCAAAGCAAAATGTTGCCAATGCGCAAGCATGCACCAAAGCAAGGGTCACCAAACACCGAATTTCGGTTACTCGCGTGCTCCAGCTGTCGATACCCCCGACATTTGTTATATATTGATGTTTTGACGCTCCAACCCCCCGAGAGGCGTCAATCAATAACAACGTGTCTGGAGTTTAAAAGCATCACTTGTAATTGTGGGCTGTAATTTTTCGTCCTTTGAGGCCTAGACCTGCGGCAGCGTCAGATGCCTGACAACCTTGCCCATCTCTGAATTTTGACGGACAGCATCATCGCTTAGCTCGCGAACCAGCCGACGCCGGAGGAGCTGTCGAGCGAAGGAGCGGCGAGAGCATCGTCCTTCTCCTCTCCGGACCGCTCGAGTCTGACCATCCCAGCCCCGGTCTTGCGCTGGTCGCAGGGCGTCCACGGCTACATGCAGCCGTTGACTGCGGTCTGGCATATGGGCGTGCCTGAGCTCCCCCCCCCCCCCCCCCCATCCGGGCAGTCAGCGGCAGTGAAGGCTAATGCCCGCCTGACCCTGAGCCGCGCGGCGGGCATCGGGACAGCTGTGCAGTCCTGCAATTGGCGCCCCCCTCCCCCCCCCCCCCCTCCACCTCCCGCCTGGCAACAACAACCCGGCGCTGGCTCCGCGAGACGTCGCTGGCCGCTCCTCGCGACGGTGGGCGAGCACAGAGCTCCACTCAGCGGCCATGTCCCGCATCAGAAGATAATTACCTCGCCACTGCCGACAAATCTCCGAACCTCTTCTAGTTCGGTACTCTTCGTGTATCCGTTAGTTGGTCCTGACATCGGGCGACATGTGGAAGGTGATCATGGTTTTGTGAAGTGCTGGTGTTTTCTAGACATCGTCCAGGTGGCAGAAAGCTAAACCGAACCGACCCACTGCTCTCCACTCTCAGCAACGGGCCAAGTCCGGCCGCGTGTGTTGACTGAGCGGTACTCGGCGGTGCTATAGCCTGCAGGTGGTGCAGATAACGCGTGGACATCTGCCCACGATTGCACAGTGGTAACACATCGCCCTGGAGGTGGTATGTTTAAGGGAGTGACGGGTTTCGTTTTTGATATGGAATGCAGTATTTTGCGTTTATTTCAGCTGCAAATAAGTCGGAGTACTGTTGGAGCTATTCTTGCACACTTTTTCATGCATCCGAATGCATGGAGTGGACATCGAGAGCCGTCGTGTACTATTCGTGCCTTTACCCTGCTACGCAAATCTGGTGGTCAGACGGCTTTGCTACTGACATGCAGCCCCACCTGACTTTCATAGCGTGCCACCAAAGACGCCTTGGAGTGCCACCAAGTGACATGTCATGCCATACTGGCATCGGAGGGGGCGCCGGTGGGCGCCAGTGGACGCTGGGGCATCCGCACCACCCAAGCGCCGAGAGCGCGCCCAGACCGTGCTGAACCATCGGCCAGCGTTGGTCTCCTGCGCAGCTTCCGGCGGCCGGTGCGCCAGCGGCGGCCGTCGCGTAGTCCTCTCTAGTCCTCTCAGCGAGCGCCAAGGTGCTGCTGTGTGTGCTCTGGGCTGGGCGGCTGTGGCGGTGGCGTACACGCACTGCTGCGTGTCACGTGCACCGATGTCAGGAATAGCCGTGAATTGCGATCATATCCAAAAGTCGGGAGCGGTTGTTTCCACTCACACATCGAGCCTTCACGCAAGAGCGAGATGCTAATAGTTCAGTGCTGTAATTGGGCTCTTTGCCCCAAGGCAATTGCTGTGTCGAGTACTTCTGAACCTATTACACGCTTACATAATTAACCCCATGATATGAGCTGAGAATCCGCATGGCTTAGGTTACTTGAGTCTCGTTGTTCAGGTTCGAGAGGGAAGTCATTTAATTGACCCTGTCCATTCTCAATGGAAATGGAGGGCACATGCCAAGGGCCAAACTGTGAAGCAAACGGAAGCGTTTAAAGCGAATGGCTGGGAGAAGTGTGTGCTTATCCAGTGGGTCATGGCTCGCCCAGTGCAACCCTCGCCAAGCATTGGCTGATTCGTCGTGCACCTTAACACGCGAAATTTTTCCAATATTTATTTTGTTTTTGTCTACAGGTATCGCCATGCGAGGTAAGCCACCCGTGCACTGCCCATTATAAGTAAGAAGATTGGCTAGGTGCCTCTTCAAAATGAGAGTGTGCCGATATTGTGCAGCACGAGCAATATTAGCTGTATCGCTATCGTTAAGCTGCTGTCGACTGATCGTGACCAACCGTGACCCGTGGCGCGGTCAAGTCTTTGTTAAGCCAACAAGCCTCAAAAGCCTGTTACATAACCCGAGGTATCCACAAACTGCTTTTAAACGTAGTGCTCATTGAACAGCACTGGAGTGAGTTTTGAAGTTGTTTGAATGGGCCTGGAATCCGATTTCCCATCGCTTACATTAGTTTTATAAGTTTCTTACGATGACCTCCAATGATGACATGCCCGAAAAAGAAGACCTTGAGGACAGGTAAGACTTTCCAAAGGGACATTCGTGAAGTGTGCGTCGCATTTGTACGTTATCACTTCTAATGCTGATTTCTTCGTGAACTCCCTACATGCCCCACGAAGTCCGCAGAATCCGGTTTTCTACAGTATTTGCGCACCTCACATACCCAAGTTTCAGTGCACATCACCCATCTGCGTCATCCGGAGCGATGGGCGGCTGGCGGCGGGCAGCCGGCACTGGATGAGAGGTGGGGGGGGGGGGGGGGGGGGGGGGGGAGGGCGCCGGTGCGACCCTTTGTCCGGCCGGGCGGCCGGACGGTCGGACTGGCCGCCGAGCCGGCAGAGGGTGGGGCCCGGCTCGGCCGGCCGTCTGCGCCGGCGCGTCGGCGGCAATCAATACCTGGGATCACATGTTCAGAGCCTGATCGAGGCGTGTGCGCTACTCAGACGGCGGACGGCCTGTGGGTGGGGTGTACAGTGTGCGTCGGCCGTCCGGACCCGCCGCCTTCCCAGCCAGTGTGACACCGAACACCGTCGGTACCGCTGCTGCGCGTGCGGTGAGCCACCACCGGCTGCTGTAGAGCCTTGGAGCGTTACCAGACGTGTGATAGGTCGATCCAAACTCAGCGTATTCCACGGCGAGTTGGTGTGTTTGTAACTGTATAGGTGCGTCTGGCCTGTATTCCGTGCCCACCCAGGCGTCCACTTAACCTTGCAGCAGCAGCGTTTTGCTAAGGGCTCGCTTGGTACCCATGGAGTTGCCTGGCTAAACTTATTGACGAAGTAAGTGGTCGTCATACCCCATGAGGCTGCTTGAAGTTATCGATGACCCAAGTTAAATCATTACTGTAGATGGTCTAGAGCACAATGCTGGGTTGCAAAAATGTGTGTTTTTTGGGGGGTGTTAATCGATGGGACAATTATTATGTGATTACACCACACACCCGGGCCATCAGCTGTACATTTCGCCCGGCTCGGCCTGTCAGCTGTACACCTCGGCCCGGCCTGCCCCGGTCCGTCAACGGTACACCCCGGTCCGGCCTGCCCCGATCCGCCGGCTGTACACCCCAGCCCGGCCTGCCTCGGCACGTCAGCTGTACACCTTGATGCGACCTGCCCGACCCGCCGGCTGTACACCCCGATCCGGCCTGCCCCGGCCGGTCAGCTGTGCACCTTAGCCCGGCCTGGCCCCGCCTGTCGTCTGTGCACCTCGGCCCGGCCTGCCCCGGCTGGTCAGCTGTACACCTTAGCCCGGCCTGGCCCGGCTTGTCGTCTGTACACCTCGGCCCGGCCTGCCCCGGCCCGTCAGCTGTGCACCTTAGCCCGGCCTGCCCCGGCCTGTCGTCTGTACACCTCGGCCCGGCCTGCCCCGGCCCGTCAGCTGTGCACCTTAGCCCGGCCTGCCCCGGCCTGTCGTCTGTACACCTCGGCCCGGCCTGCCCCGGCCCGTCAGCTGTATGCTTCGCCCCGCCCGCCTCGGCCCGTCGCCTGACGCGAGCTGGTGCGGCGCCAGCTGCTGTCAGCCGGAGTTCGGGGGCGCCCGAACCCCTGAACACCGGCCGCGCCCGGGCCGCGACGGCGCCAAAACAGCGCGCCATGGACTACGCCGAAAGTGGCAAGTGGGGCAAAGGGGGGCCGCGCCGACCGGCTGACCCAAATAGCTGTGTTCTAGCCATGGGCTAAACGTGGCGGCAAGGGTCCAGCCATACAGGATGTCGGTCTGTGAAGTACTCGGGACAGAGGGAAGCGCATTGTTACGTCGACCCTGAAATGCTGCTTCTTGGGTGCCGTTGGTTAAAGCGGAAACTTTTGGGAAAGATCTCGTACACTTTCTCCACTTGCGTCACATGTGGATGATTCCAATAATGTTGTGCATACGTCGCTACAATGCACCACCAGTTTGCTGGTGAGGCAGCTGGCTCCTACCCCTGATCCCTGCGCGCTTGCGCGACCCGTTTCAGGGATTGGTTGCCTGTGCACCGGTATCTAGGCTATCCTTAGAACAAGCAAATAAATTTAATCCGAACACGCAATTTCTCTTGCGTTTTAGATATGTGTACCTATGGGTGAAACAGTAAAGGTTCACATGGGAAAATATCTGTATTTATGATCTCGCGGGGTGCTCTTCTGATGAAATGGAAGAAAACACATGCTGGCTTCAACTTAGGCCCAGTCATCGAAGTGTAGCCCCCTCCAGGCTAACCCCGCTCACACTGAGGTCACGTTCGTTTGAACTGCATATCTGGCCTCCGGTTGACTTGTCATGTCAAGGCCGCTCCGGCCGTCCCACCAAAACGACCTTACAAGTACCGACAAACTTCAGACAAATGACGTTATAAACGACCGACGAACTTCAGGCAAACGTGGGTAGTACTACCAGTGCGGTGGTGCATTGAACGACACCAAAGAGTGCGATCGTTTCGTAAACGTATCTGTACCCTTGCTGGCCCCAGCAAAAAATGCGATGCATTCTAGAATCCGTCGCATCATTGGACACTGCGAACGCGGCTCGGCCCCGGTATGCCCCGTCAGTGAGGGTGTCTCGTTAGCAAACATCTCCATCTTCAAGACTCAAAGCACCAGCTCGTGTCCGAGATCATCGTCTGCTGATGGAAGAGCTGACGTGCATCCCGATCTCAGCGGTGTCGCCTTCAGAACATCTCACTGGACACGAGCTCGGCTCGTCTGGCGCCTCTGGATACCGCAGTCAGCTGTCGTCACCAGTCATATGAGATTCTCGCTTCACCGAACTCTATTTCGGATGAGCGATGCTCCAGAGGTCCTTCCAAAAGTAGCGCTGATGAACCTGTGGCCTCGCCTGAGCTCCTGCCTCCGGCGTGACGCCCTCCACCGAGGTGACCTGACCTGTCACGAGTCAGCCGCGACCGCACCCATGACGTGCTGCCCGGCTCAGTTCCAGGAAGAAGCGGGGCATGCCGCTGCATCAGGTCAGCATCGAGTCGCCCGGCCCCACCATGAAGGGGTGCGTGTTCAACTTTGACGTGCCGATGCCGGAGGTGCCGCCGGCCGGAGCCCGTGTCAAGGTGAGTCGCACGCTGCTGAGGGGCGCCTGGGGATAGCCGGGTCCTGTCAGGGTGAGTCTGACGCTGGTAAGTGGCGGGCGCCTGGGGATAGCCGAGTCCTGTCAGGGTGAGTCTGACGCTGCTAAGGGGCGGGCGCCTGGGGATAGCAGAGTCCCGTCATGGTGAGACGCACGCTGCTGAGGGACGCCTGGTGATAGGGGAGTCCCGTCAGGGTGAGTCGCACGCTGCTGAGGGACGCCTGGTGATAGCCGGGTCCCGTCACGGTGAGTCGGACGCCGCTAAGGGGAGCTGGGGGATTGCCGAGTCTCGCCAGAGTGAGCCCAAGGGGGAGGCTAGGACGGGTAGACGTCCCCGGCGTGATCAATAGCTGGAAGGCACTGGCCACACTGGCGAGGGCGAGAGAGATCAATACGGAAGTTACACGTGCGGAACAACGAAGCATTTTTTATTCATGGGAAACCGCCCGCTGGGCTATTGGCTGCTTAAAGTGAGATTACCTGTTTGCCCCTATGTTATGCATGGTCTCGTGTGTCACAAGGTTAACAACACGCGCACAACACTGCTCCTCTCAAACAACTGTAGGGCATGACACTAGAGTGATAGCTACCGTCGTAGCTCCAAGCTTAGTACATCTGTTACGTCTGAGGTGGTTAACGCCATTATTAAGGGGTAAGTCGACACGAAAAGGGGTGGGGAAACACGCAGACCACGACGTGCGCAAACCCCTGCCTAGGTTATATTACTAATTCAAAGTCGTAAAGGGAATGAAGTGGTCAGTTTTAAAGATAACGTGGTCAGTTCCCGTCAAGAGTTCACCACCTTAAGTTTCTTCCGCTTTCCGAGGTCTTTAAAGGAAGCGGATACATTGTGGACCTTTCATTGGTTGCAACTTTTGCGTCTCGGAACCAGGTGACCGAAATATAAAGGCATTGAAATAAGTTGAAGGCTACTCATGTATTTTTTAAACTTTGCATATGACAGTTACTAGCAGGTGAATAGCGCCACTTTGAATCGCAGCGAATGATTTTAACAATGTACTTTGCGTACATCAACCATTTTCTACGTCAAGCCTACTTACCCACCAAAAAGCGAACCCCTAGTAATGATGTAAGGTAAACAACAAGCTGTAGAAGCTGCCCTGCCCCTACTCCGACCAATGCACTAGTTGAGTGTCGCCCCACAATCCCTGAAAATGAGACAGACCGTTCCTGGTGTTTTAGAGACGATAGCTCAGACTTTTGCACTTCTGTACCTAAGTCGAGTGCTGCTTAAGAAGAATATGCCGATTAGGCTAATCTTTGCCATTGCCAGGTAACAACCGTGTTTTAAGAACCGGCGCGCGCATTCCGCCGTGAATTCAAAGCGTATGTTTCACCTGCTTTCGTGGGTCACGTGACCAAGCAGCGTAACGACTGCGGGGTTTCAGCGTGACTGGTCTGATGTCCGAACGGCAGAGCGACCCGGCGCGCCTTGCGCGACGCCCGAGTGTGACCGGCCGGCCGTCGTTTCAGGTGATGTGCGCAGGCGTGTGCTACCGCTCCAAGCGGTCCATGTCGGTGAACAGCGCCGCCTCGCTGGCCTCCATCGGCTCCGACGGCTCCAGCTGCAGCAACAAGGGCGTCCGTGACACCTCGCTCTTCCCCGGTAGGCCATCACGCGCGGCCGCCGACACCGTGGACGGGTCGGGCCCTTGTTGCTGCCGGAGAGTTGTCACGCTGCGGCGCTGGGTGGCGCTGGCGTATGCACTCTTGCTGTGATCGGCCGGCTGAGACACGTTTGCTGCCGTGGGTTTCGGATGCCTTGTAGACAGGACGTGATTGCCGTGTCGTAATGGCCGATTCTGCCCTTCAGGGTTTGAAGTGGCCGGACAGATTGAGAGCTTCGGCGAGAATGTGGACCCGAACTGTGGTCTGAAGATCGGCGACAATGTCATCGTGTATCCCTACGTGGGATGCCCGGACGGGTGAGTCGTCAAACCGTCCATCTCTTGGCGGTTTGTGATGGAATGTAGCTTTCGTAGTGTAGCAATGCAAGTTACCGACATGACATGACTTTCCGCTCGCCGAGAGCAAAGTGGTTGTTTTGCTCCTGGTCACCGATCCTCGATCGATGCTCGTTGTCGATAATGCCCTGGTCGCGGCCGACACGTGTTCCGAACCGGGCCACATGCCGGGCGCCGCTGGCGGGCCGATGATTTGACCAGGTTCGTCGGTATGGCGCCCCGCAGGTACGCCGAGTACGTGCCCGTGGAGGACGTCAAGTACCTGGTGAAGGTGCCCAGCTCGGTGTCGATGCCGGTGGCCTCGATGCTGCCCAGTGGCGGCCTGTGGGCGATGAACACTGTGTTCACCGCCCGCCAGTACGTCGAGAAGCAGCTGGCCGAGCGGGGCGAGTCTGGTGAGAGCGGGGCGACTCTGGTGAGAGCGGGGCGACTCTGGTGAGAGCGTGGCGATTCTGGTGAGAGCGGGGCGATTATGGTGAGAGCGGGGCGACTCTGGTGAGAGCGGGGCGATTCTGGTGAGAGCGGGGCGAGTCTGGTGAGAGCGGGGCGATTCTGGTGAGAGCGGGGCGAGTCTGGTGAGAGCGGGGCGACTCTGGTGAGAGCGGGGCGACTCTGGTGAGAGCGGGGCGAGTCTGGTGAGAGCGGGGCGACTCTGGTAAGAGCGGGGCGACTCTGGTGAGAGCGGGGCGATTCTGGTGAGAGCGGGGCGAGTCTGGTGAGAGTGAGACGTGGTCGGCCGCGGTGACAGTATCCAGCTCGCCGTTTGCCCCACGCACACGGGCAGCCGCCTCCGACACATGTCCGTGTCCGTGACCGTGTCCGTGTCCGTGTCCGTGTCCGTGTCCGTGTCCGTGTCCGTGTATCCGTTCATGTCTGTGGGAGCGAGCAGGGCCGGGACTCACTGCCAGAGTTCGGCGCTCACTGATAAGGACAGTCTATCTTATCTGATCTGTTTTGAGAATGTCGTCCGTCTTCGAGTAGTCGTGCAGCATTGTCGAACGCGCAGCAGTCTGCGGCCTCCAGTTCTGGAGGTGTTTGATGTAAGTAAAATGATGTAAGATGCAAGTAAATGATAAGATGTAAGTAAATGATTAGATGTAAGTAAAATGAGAATTCTTGGAAAAGAGTTGACAGATGAATTAATGACAAGGGATGCTGGGAGAGGACAGGACAGAAAGAGCGACTGGGCTTAGGGGCTGCGGATGCTGGGAGTGTCGGCCCGGCAGTGGGCCGGGTCAGGTTGTGTCTGGTGCCATGGCGAGCGTGCCTGAAATAGCTGTCTCTGTCCGTCCCACGCGCCGCGCCAGCCAGCGGCCCGGCCGGCCCAGCTGCAGCCGCCCCTCCCCTTCCCCGGCTCACAAGCAGTGCCTGGTGGTCTAGCCGACGCTGTGGCGCGGTGGGCGGCTGAATTAGAGAGTGGTAATGGAACGATGCGCAGAGTTAAGTTAGTCTGGACAGCTTCAACAACGACCGAACCGTTCAAAGAATAAGTTATCAACTGATTGATGGGACATTTATGAGTGCGACGCTAGGGACTACATATGGGATCAATTAATGGTATTCACATGGATTTGAATAAAAGCTTTATTTATTGTGATTGCACCTTGATAAAAAAGCGAGTTAAAGCCAAGTCATCTGGACCATTGTTCTGTTTTATCAGCTAAATTCCAGACTAATCGCCTGTGGCGTTTTTAAGACTAAGACTCCTTCCGCCTCTCGATGTGCGAGGACGTGTGTGCTACCGATAAAACCAGACAAAGGTGTATATCTTGTCCTGACATCGCCCTTGGTCTCGGTCCCGTTGTCAGGTGACACCAATTAAAAGCGATCACAGGTGCCTGCCTCTTGATCGTGATGTCAGATCAGGTCATGTGACCAGATTCAGAAACAATGACGTGTGCATTAGCACTTTGAAATGTACCACGGGACAGCAATGTTTGTCTTCCCGTGCAGTTGGCATGTCTGATTTATTTTGTATCGTGGGTGGCGTGCGGCAGGAGAGCCCGCTGTGGGGACACGTGCCCTCTGACCGGTGGCGTGACGTGACGTCCTATGGGCTGGCGCCGCTCGGCCAGCCGCGGCTCTGACCGGCGGCGTGCTGTCGTCGGCAGGGAAGGTGAACGTGCTGGTGGTGGGCACTGGCGGCCTGGCGCTCTGGGCCATCCGGATCGGCCGCTTCTTCTTCCCCGAGTGGACGGAGGGACAGTCGGTGCGGCTGACCGTGGCTGTGCTGCGCGACGAAGGCCTGCAGAACATCACCGACCAGGAGGAGCACAAGTGAGCAGCGGCCGGGCCACGGAGCCGAGTCATGGATGGCGGCGGTACCAGTGTAGGCACTACGGGACAGATCCGCGCGACACCCGCTTTTAGGTGGCTCGACAGTGTCGGGCAGACACGTGTGTATACGTGGATGAAGGTCCTGATATTGCGTTGGGTGTGATGACTATGATGAGCTCAGGGATATCAGCAGCATGCTAGCAACACTGTGCCAAGCTTTTGGTCAATATTTGACGAGTACTCTGGACAGATGGTGTGTTTTAGGCGCACAGATATGGCGTCACCATCGCGCCGAGTGCTTTTATGGAGATGCCATGAGGTGGGCCTTCACGACACGTCTGCTCTGACATTCTCGCCTCATCTGCCCAGGGGTGGCGGTGTCAAGTACCATACATGCATGCATTCGCGGGCACTTCTTGACATGCATGCATTCGCGGGCACTTCTTGACCATCACCTAAATATTACGCGCAACACTGCAGCGTTCGGTCACAGTTTGGTTGTTTGTTGTTGCGCGCGGCAACGTTATTACTACTGGGAAAAATATCGTGTGACTTCTCTGGCGACGCTGGCGGTACGACCCAAAGGACAGTATTTGAAGGCATCCCCGCTATCACCTTGTTTATTCTGTCGATATCGCACAGCTTGGGCGGTATCCGCCTCATGTCGCGGCGACGCGCCGTGTCGAGGAGAGGTGACCCTTGCTGTGCCCGTCTCTGTCGCGCGTCGCCTCATGTCGCGGCGACGTGCCGTGTCGAGGAGAGGTGACTCTTGCTTTGCCCGTCTCTGTCGCGCGTCGCCTCATGTCGCGGCGACGTGCCGTGTCGAGGAGAGGTGACCCTTGCTGTGCCCGTCTCTGTCGCGCGTCGCCTCATGTCGCGGCGACGTGCCGTGTCGAGGAGAGGTGACTCATGCTGTGTTCGGTTGTCGCAGCGCCGGCGAGCAGTTTGAATCGCCGGGGCTACACGGGCGGTACGCTGCTGTCCTCTGTGCAACCCGTGCACTCATCTCACATGCCGTGTGACGCCACCACTAGTCTAATGGTGTTCCCCTTTAACCCCGCACTGGAGCCGGACGACTCACAGCGTGTGAGGGAGTTGTTTTTGCTGTGCTGAGCGTGCGTGGGGACTGGGAACGGCGGCGATAGCTGGCTGGGTTTGCAGCCATGGGCTTTGCCGGAATGCAGGACTGGGGAGGGGCTAAGGAGTCTCCTCAACGTGTCTGCAGGGGGCGAGGGTCTCCCCAAGGGTCACCGTACGAGTTGAGGGGGGGGGGGGGGGGCTATGCGGGAGTTTCTGAAGCCAGAAAATGGTTCATGCAGGCAACGGACGAAGTACGTTATATATTAGACGCCCCTTAATACGTTTAAACAACTTTAATCGAAAAAGAATCGATTGAACGGTTACCAGCTGATGTCGGTTTTCATCCAGTGAAAGACACCAGCTATGTGCGGGTCAAAAGCTGTTTTGCTGACTTAGAGAAAAGTGGGCGCGTTAGCCACACGTTATTTCTTCTGAGCACCCTTAAATGGCAAGTACGTTAACATCCACTTTATCGGTCTTAACTTTATGCCCACCACACCATGGAAAAGAAGGGACAGTTATGCCGCTTTTGTAATTTAGCATTTCGTTTAGGGGTAAATCTGCACTAGGTGTAACGCAGGTGTGGCCTAAAATAGTCTTATCTTTTACGATATATTCATACCCTGCATTAATGTAAACCGAAATGACCTGGTGATGCAGAGTTGCTGCTCTCTTCGATAGCTGTTGAGTGTCGCGCAGGCGAACGCCAGTTTCGGCTCGTTGGCCGGCTAGTGACGAGTCCTCTTTGCGAGTCCGTAGCACTGCTGGCTGCTCAGTTTTATATCATCTCCCATGTACTTGTATTGGCGGCAATGTTTTTACAGGACTGCCTGAGCTGGTTATCATACCCAGCTAATTTTAGCCGAGCTTCTTGTGTACCACCTTGTTTGAATGCGCCTACGCATATCCTTTCTATAAACTCGTTTCCAAGGACTTGTCTTGTTTGGTTCGAGTGCCTGCTGAGCAGGGCTCGTGGATTTAATCCCGCATCATAACCCGGGCTGCGCCATTCCGGTTCATTCGAACGTTTCGTCATGTGTGGTTTTCGGCCGAACTGGAGTAGCGGAGTGGTATTTGCTTACCGTGCAATAATGTAACGCATCCGCCCCGTGCCAGGTCCCCGTGGGCAAGACCAGCAATATTGTTTGAGATAAAGTCGAACAAATTCAAACGTGCCCCAGTATTTGATCCGTGGCGAGTACCTAGCGACAGCTGCCGGCGATGGGTCGGGGTCTCGGTGCAAAGTCCAGTGCGATAACAAATCCCCGAGCCTGGGTGTTGTTTGCCATGCTCTTCAGAACTAAACAAGGCTCTAGTGGCTCGTCCAGTGTACCATTCCACTTTTGAATTGGTTTGTGTACACACCAGCGCATAGATAGTTGGCTTCGCTCGCCCTTCCTCCCTTGCGCGGCGATGGCAATCCCACTGTTTAAACGCGCGACCCACGTCATGCATTCGTCTCTCGCCGTCATCTTAAGTGTGACCGTCCATCCCTACACATGTTTGGTGAACCGCTATTCGGAACCGGGCTTGTCCTATCCCAATCGCCCGTCGGTGGCCTGCCGCAGTGTCATGATCTGGCCGTGGTTCGGCTGGGGTGCTGGTGCCCAGGAGCACAGGCTTCGCGTTACATCGTGTCAGGGTGCCGCCATCGACACCTCCCTGCGGCCAGAGCTTCCTGGCCGGGCTCACGCGCTCACTTACCCCCCGGCGCCAAATCTACCAACGAGCATCGCTGCACATTACCAGCGCCGTTGGCCGGGCTCATACGCTCACTTACCCCCGGCGCCAAATCTACCAATGAGCATCGCTGCACATTACCAGCGCCGTTGGCCGGGCTCATACGCTCACTTACCCCCGGCGCCAAATCTACCAATGAGCATCGCTGCACATTACCAGCGCCGTTGGCCGGGCTCATACGCTCACTTACCCCCCGGCGCCAAATCTACCAATGAGCATCGCTGCACATTACCAGCGCCGATTGGCCGGGCTCATACGCTCACTTATCCCCCGGCGCCAAATCTACCAATTAGCATCGCTGCACATTACCAGCGCCTCGTATGCACAAGCAGTATTTCGGTCGTGATATCTTGTGATATCCTGCAGTCTTGTAGTATCCTTTGCTACGTGACAATTTAGGGCTTGATTGATGTGGACTAACACCTTCCATTGTAGCAAGAACAAAAGGTGTCGTGATTAGTAGAACTAATTGTTTCAAAATGTTTCTGTAGACTGAAATAATCCGTATGCAGTTCGTCCGTTCGCTGAAAGCCCTTTGTGCTTTAGCTTAGAAAGCGTAATGTGTTTGTCCCCTCCATCTGTTTATAGCGTTGGCGAAATGAAGATTTAAAACATGCTCATACACATTCTGGCTTGTCCCCACTGTTGTCTAGTAACATGAAGGATCATGTTTATTGAAGGAGGTAGTCGAATAAGGGATATTTGTATTTGTTCCTAGTAGTGTCAAGTAAATCAATGATTCCCTGCCACAACGGTGAGGCTAGTGTCCCGAGGGCCAGTAAGTAACCACTCACCTGCCACCTTGCGGGCTGTTCTTGCGCCGGCCCCCTGCCGGCTCCCCGAGCTGGTAAGCGCGTGCTGACGGCCTGGCGCGCCCCCTCTGTGGCCAGGCTGAACATCGTCCAGTGGAGCGAGGACTGTTACGAGAGCCAGCTGATCGAGCGAACCATCAACGCCTGCGAGGGCCGTGTCGACCTAGTCATCGACTTCGCCGCCAACCCGCGGTCGCTAAAACCGTTCCCCTCAAATGTCTATCCAAGGTAAGTCGCAACGCCGGCGGCGACGGCGCATGGCGCCGAGCTGCTGCTGATGTGGGTGGCAGGTTTTGTGATGTTATAATTTTGTAAAATTTGCCACCATTTTATTTAGATGTGTGGATTGGTTACCATATAGCCAGACCACCCCTCCTGTCGCAACCTGCAAAAATGCAAATGATCCGGTTCAGATCCCGCAGGGTGTCATGGAATCAACGTTCAGCTCAAATCTCCATACAAACGCGGAACGCTCATTTTAAATGACCTGGCCCCAAATTAGAAATGCGCATGACAAGGAGACTGGGTCACAGTATGTCCATACCCAGCGCGCACCAATCCCCTGTCGTTATTCTAGCGCCACATTGTCCGCATACTCATGAAGGCGCGGAACATCCCAATTTTTGGCCGGCTTTCACACAACCCCGCAAACGCGACGCGTGTGCACGACCAAGGCTCCATGCTTATTACTTTCCAATCATTTGTCCCCGTCCACCGACCGGTTTCTTACAGTAGCAGCCGGCAGGTAAGTCACTTTGGCGGCGACGACCGGCGGCCGGTCCATCGATGACTGTGTTTGTCTCACAGGGCCGTCGGCCGGGTCGGCGCGTCCTTTTCGGCAGCAATTTGCTCTGTTTACCTATCTTTTGTGTTTGGGTAGGCGCTTTGATTCTAATTCGTATACACATATGCATATATATGCATATATATAAAAGTCAGCACCAATGATCATCACTATCTGTTGTCACGAGTTAGCTTCACACCTGTGTGACGGGTGCGGTGGTGCCCAGGGCGGCGTGATCGTGATTGGAGCGGAGACGGCTCAGCGCTACGTCAGCCGTTTCGAGAGCGTGGCCCAGGCCAACGAGCAGACGATCGTGCCCGTCGAGATGGGCTCCCTGGACCAGCTGCACACTCTTCTGGATCTCATCGCTACCAAAAAAGTAGGACATTAGCCGGTCATGAGGTAGCTCAGTGCGAAACTAGCACATGTTTTTTATGTTTTCTGCCAAGATGGTGTACATTACTTGTCCGCTCAAAAGTCCTAAGCCTTCCCCGTCGCTGGTGATACAGTCTCGTTTCTGTTTGGTCATTCTAGCTCAGTTTGCAGCGTTTTCGCAGACTGCAAGGTGATCAGCAGTGTTAAATATTCTGGTGCACGGCTGGAGCAGATTGATGTGTTTAAAAGCCAGTATGACAGCTGCTAAGATGTGTTCAGCACGCCGCGGCCCCGTACGATGGCGTTGTCCTCCGGCCGCCTGCGCTGATCCGCTGACATGTCCCGCCCAGGTGGAGCCTCCGCCGTACAACCTGTTCCCGTCAGAAGAAGCTGAGTCCGTCTTCATGAAGCTGGGCCGCGCCAAGATTCACGGCCGCGCCATCCTGCACTTCGAGACGATCCCCGACGCGCCGGAGACCTGAGCAGCGCCGTCTGTGGGTCCGGGACGACGCGGACAGCGTCATCTGTGGATGTGGGACAAGACCGACAGCGCCATCTGCGAGGCGGGCGTGCTAGCGACGCGCCGCGGCACGGCCGGGCGGGCAGCGGCGCTTGTGGCTTGCGTTTGGCGCCGTGCACAGGGGCCGGCTGGAGCCAGCCGCTATTTATCCGCATCGAGGACTTTCAGTAGCGACTCTGTGTACCTTATTCCGATTGGGTGTAGTCTTGCGAGGGTGTGACCGTGCACGGAGGCGTCCGCGCGTGAGGCGTCTGCCTCCGTATGAACGGAATGGGACGGTGACGGACGGCGTCTGGCTGGTGGCGCCTTGCGGTGATGGTGAATTGTCGAGAGGACAGAGTCTTGTAACGGCAGAAAGACGTAAGTTTGCGTAGCAATCGATGTCTGCTTGCTAAGTGCGTGCGCTTTGTTTTGCGCGCGTTTATGCAGGTGAACCGGATTCTGCCTGCACAGCTTCTATTTGCTTTGAGTCTCAACAGTGTATTAGAGTGTGCGCTGACTCCTTAGAACTAACCTGGGCGGCAGTTGTGCAAATGGGACCGACTGAAGCAAGCGTTAGGAGCTGCAGATGTGTACTGAGGTAGGCAGTAGGTAGTTGTTAACGCAAAACTCGATGGTCCTGTTGCCGGAATGCTACATTTTGGCGGATAAGATCATTACCCAACTTCATATCCGGTAGGTGCCATCGAAAATCTGTATTGCAAGGCATCGCAGCGAAATATATGTCGTAAGTGAATACTGATAACAAAATAGAATGAGGCGCACGGCAGGCTGAGCATCTTTGTTTGCTTTTTTGCTTGGCGAGTAGATCCGGATCTGAGCTGGACGGATTAGGTTTTTGAATGACTCGCACGGCAGAACAAGCGGGCTCATTAACTGAGAGTCCACCATAATCCGTCAGAAAGCGAAGTGCCTTCTTCTCTTGCATTGAGAATGGTCAAAGCATAGGGAGCCAGTGGCAGACGCGTCCAGTCTTCCGGCGGTTGGGTAGAAGCACGACCGGTATTAAACCTTCACCAGGGTGGTACGTGTTCCGCTGGAGCGGGCCACGCATTCTGACTCCAACTCCGAGCGCGTGGCTTTGCTCACTACCGCGACCCCCGACCAGCGAGGCATGGCTGAGTGAAGCACGATTATGACCCGGAGCAAATGTGGCCCAACATCTGCATCCATTTGAACTATGTCTATTACGATTACAACACCTTCAGGAGCACTCGTTCATGGACTGCATAAAAACATGTGTAGGGCATTGGTTTTAAACAAGGATAGCAATACACCTAGTTTTCTCTTTGTTCCACGCATGCAAGTCGTCGAAATCGGAAAATCGATGTTTTCCGCTCAGGCCTGAAGTCCCTCCCATCAAGGATTGCAATCACTGCGGTTGGCTTAGCACGCGCTCGGGTGCGGCAGGGGTCGATTTGACCTCAGAGGTTTTTTTTCCGGACTGCGCGGCATAGCCCTTTCACATTTTGAATAGCTGGAAGCAGTTGAATAGCTGACCTTTTGGCATCAGATTTTATACGTACTTTGCAAGGTCGCTAACCTACGGCAGGTCAAATCCATACCATGGATTTAGCGAAAACAATTTCTGGGAATTGTTTAATCTGACCTCACAACGAAGTGTTATACGAAGCGATATGTCTTTGAGACGGTTGCTTAGGCACAACAATAATTGAATAAATAACATTAAATGACCTAGCGTCAAGTATGAAGGTCAGACCAAGGTCAAAACCAACCTGTTTCTAGAGCCTGCTGCATGGGCTAGCTTCTGGTACTCATTTTGAATTTACCGATTGCAGGAACTGTATTAAACATCGTTTATGGACTTCTTGGGGGACAGAATAGGCCATTTACCTAAAATAACTCACGTCGGCATTATATTCTTAAGAACATGCGGCCCTCCATATTCCTTGAGGCTTATTCGAATGCAAAATATCAAAGTAGTGTTGCATAATTTTGGTCACCACGACCTCCTAAAAGTCAAGCAAGGTAAGTGACCTTGAAAAGCACCAGTGACCTTTTGCTTAAAACGGATATCCGGGTTCACGGTGATTTCATGACAAGGTCTGGTGGCACTTAGGATACCAATCTGGAATTCGACCTCATTTCATGAAGTTTGACCGGAAGGTCATAGCCTAGTAACCTCAAACATTAACACAAGTCAGTTGAAGTACCGACCAACGCACCCTGTAAATTTGGTGTCTCTAGCTTTCCTAGTTTTTTTTTAGATCTCTGTTGGCAAATTGACCCCCACCCGAGCGGGGGATGTTCAACCAGCCACCCGACCGCGTGTTGACTCAAACCCCCACTCACAAAGTCTCGAAGCTCACCGTCGCTCAACAACAATTTGGGTGACACTGTAGTGGGGTACGACGCTTCGTCGATGTTAACGACACTGAGGGTTTTCATGGGTGAACGCCTGTTCCGGTTGTTATTTAACAGACGCCCCGCCGGATGAGAAGTGGGTGTGACACACAGACCCAAGCGGTCTGCTCTGCACCACTTGAATGTGAATGCAAGATTGTGAAGTCAGGCAAGACTGGCAGGGAGCATTGCTAGTTTTCTAGCGAACCTTTCCACTCACGTCTGGTCAAAAACGCTGATAGCTGTAATTCGGGTTTGTTTGCAGAATTTCCCAGACCACTTTCGTGTATTAGATGATTTTTTTAGCCCTTTTCCGAGACGAAAATACTAATCATATATGTCGGCTTTTCAATGAGTCTAAAGCGTCAATATTATGAAAGGTGGTTAGCATTGCATTAAGATGTTCGGAAATAATAAAAAAACTCGTTCGTAAGACCGCGACGTGCACAATAATGGAGCACCTCTGACTCCATGCTGATGCAGAGACGACGCCAGTTCTAACGACCTTATCTCAACAACCCGCCAGTCAGGGGTGGTGGCAGTGGGTTTCTGTCGTCGATCATATGGCACGCGCCACAGGTGTCGCCAACAGTTTAGCTCGGTAGCGTGTACCATGGCAAATAACTCCACACCCAGAACCTTAGTCAGGCTCCGGCTTTTCCAGTCTATCATCGGAATCCTCTTGTGACCAAAATTTTCAATATCCCAGGCATACAAAGGAATCTCTCACTTATATACGGCCATTCGATTGGTGACATGAACAGCTGCTGCCGCTAAAATTCAGGCACACTAGTCTTACAATCCCCTTTCACCTCGAAAACTTGTGGGACTTCATGACTGAGCTCGAATTACGGCTGGCTTCTCTCCTTTGACCGCGAAAAACGACGATCGACCTCGGTCGCCATAGCAGCTGAATACATGGCAGAATTCCATCCAAAGTGAATTGTGAGTCGTAGTTGTTTTCACGGAAGTCTGTGATACACATTAATTACCTACGATCGTTTTCTTTCTTTTCATTCAATCCGAGTGAGAGGATGCAGCGACTCGATGAACAGTTGGGTTTATTCATATTTTGTTTAAAAAAGATCTTAGAAAACCTGATTTTTGGGTATTTTTGAAAACCTGAGTTTTGGACGGACAGCTTGTCCACCCTGGACTTTGGATTGGACTTTTTGCTTCCTTGACCACAATGCCTTGCAAAAGGCAAGCTTGAGGGCAACAAAATGCATGCATCCATCCCTGCGCCGCGCGTCCCAATCTGCGCAACATTGGGACTTGGTCTGCACCGTTTATTGCGTCAGTTGTTCAGTGCATCTGCGAGGAACATTGTGTGTATAAATAAGGCAATAGTAATAGCCTCATTCCTTGTGGAAAACCCAAGGAAAATGGAAAAATTAATGCGTTGATATTTCGGCAACGTGCTTTTGTCGAAACGAATATCGGTAGTAAAGTCACTTTTATTCATATTTCGGCAACATGCCTTTGTCGAAACGAATATCAGTAGTAAATGTACTACTGATATTTGTTTCGATAAAGCTATGTTGCCAAAATATCGGCGCATCCATCTCTCAAGTTTCTCTTTATACGAGAGTAAGGTTAAGTTTTCTATGAAGAATAAGTCTATTACTACCGTCTTGTCTATTAGTATCGTTTATTGATCGAATGTAGCAAAGTTGCATCCTTTTTCTATGCTGTATGCAAGCACACTGCCGGAAACAGCCCTATGGCAATGCTCCAGTATGGCAAGTATCGAAACACGTTATCTAGAGAAAATGGCACGCCCCAAATGACCACTTTCACCTGAAATCTTCGAAAATGTAGCCGGAGCACCGCAACCACACTGATCAGGAGGATGCTGGACACGTTCGAGCGTGTGTTGACACTCTCTGCTGGCAACAACGACGATCACATAGGCGTGAAGTTGCGGGGGTAATTTTTTGAACAGCTTTGGTTTCTGAGACAGGACTTTACCAGATTGCGTGGTTGAGCAGGGGCCAAACAGTGCAGCACCATGCGCTGCAGTGCCGCACAGCGCGTTGCAATGTACTTGTTCAGATGTCACGATTCGGGGGTCTTGTGTCAACAAGAAACTGCGAAAAACGACGAGGTGTTTCGATCCCACTCTGGCAGTTTTTTGGACGAGATCGCTGCCTTTCATTGCTGGCTCTGAGTGCTGCTTGTGTTGAGCCATGAAATAAGTGGCAGCGTTTTATGAGAAAATAGTCTAATCTTGTTTCATGAAGTCCGAACGGCTTGTAGAAATAGGTGTGTTAGCCCACCACTTCGCACACAATTTTGCCTGCAACTGTCCGAGTGCAACCATTTGCACGTCATCCAATGCCTTGACACGGTCACGGCTTATAATCGTGGAGACCCTCCCGCTTTTCGTCAGCTGGTATCTGTTGAGTCAAACAATCAACCGCCCCTGAGACTTGAACTTCAACACCTGCCAAGTGTTGGAGTCGCCTGTTTGAACGACGCGAGTACGGCTGCGTAAGCCGGCGCGGGGATATATTTATATATATATATATATATATATATGCATATATATATACATACATATATATATATATACATATATATACATATATATATGATATATGTATATATATATATTATCATATATATAATATAGTATATATTATATATATGCATATACAGCTGGCGATTGGCCATTGAATTGCATGTTTGAAATAACAGAGATGCCATGAGGTGAACGGTCAAGGACCTTGTTCAATTAGGTTTAAATCCTGTGAGGTGGAAGCTCAATTAATGGCATTGGTCATCTAATTGGCCTGTGAAATATTCCGTGACTGTGGGCACATTCCACGCTCGGTTAGCCTCGGCCCTTTATTTGGAGCAGTTAACATGAAAATAACCTTAATATGGTACAACAATCGCAGGGGCGGCCACGAAAAGGTGTCCACCACCAGGAACAGTCCGCCACCAGAAACCAAATGCAAACCCCCAGTGCCCATGCTCCCGCCACCACGAAGCACAGTCTCATATACACATCCACAACTCGTCCACCAACACAATTAACCAGTGTTATAAAAAAACAAGTCAGCTCTTACGTCTGGACTGCGAGTGGTATTGGGCAGGGGTGATGGCCCAGCAAAATGACATTTCGGTAGCGGGTGGTGAAGCAGGCATTCCATCTAACTTACTCACTAATGAGTGCTGACACTGATCCCCATGCTTGTGTCTGGGCCGTCAGGCGATAACATTATTGTCAAATCAGGCGGGTTAGAGCCGTGGCCGTCGACGGGCAGCTGCCGGGCTAGAGCCGTAGCCGTTGACAGGCAGCTGAAGGCTAGAGCCGCGGCCGTCGACGGGCAGCTGCCTGGCTAGAGCCGTGGCCATCGGCGGCGGGCAGGCTAGAGCTGTGGCCGTTGGCGGCGGGCAGCTGCC